AGTCCGGATCTACAACAGGTGATTTAAGCTTTAAGCCATAAGAAATTGACCAATTACAATCGAATCCGAGGGGAATAATCGATTGTGATTCGCCCATTTGTTATGACTTAATGCTGAATTCACACTGTATCCGATTTTCGTCGTACAACGCTCTTCAACCAATCAGAAAACAGAATTCCGATGATACGAAGAAAAATCCATCGGAATCCTGCTTTCTGATTGGTTACAGAGCGTCGTACGACGCAAATCGGATGCAGTGTGAATCCAGCATAAGGCTTAAAAATCTATTGTAGATCCGGTCTTATGCGTTAGTCCGGATCTACAATAGAGTTTTAAGCCTTAAGCCATAAGAAATGGGCGAATCACATTTATTCTTCTTGGATTCGACTGTAATTGGTCAATTTCTTACGGCTTAAGAGCCCAGACACACACTCTTGCATAACGCATAAGTCCGGATCTACAATAGAGTTTAAAGCGGGGAGCACAGACTCTTGCATAACGCATAATACATGAGGCATAAGAAATTGAACCAACCAGAGTTCTCTATTACATGGAAGGGAAAGAAACGGAGAACTTCGATTGGTACATATTCTTATGCATTACGTATTATGCGTTATGCAAGAGTCTGTGCTCCTCGCTTAAGCCTTAAGCCATAAAAAATGGGCGACAGTCGTTTATTCTTCTCGGATTCGACTGTAACCCCGGATCTACAATAGGGTTTTAAGCCTTAAGCCATAAGAAATGGGCGAATCACAGTCGCTTATTCTTCTCGGATTCGACTGTAATTGGTCAATTTCTTACGGCATAAGGCATAAAACACCTATTGTAGATCCGGACTAATTGGTCAATTTCTTACGGCTTAAGACTTAAAACACCTATTGTAGATCCGGAGTTATGCAAGAGTGTGTGCTGCGGCCTTTAACACAAGAAACGCACCTTGTGCATAGACTTTATTCAGATACCTTACCACGTCGATAAAGCAGACCACTCAGCTATCACCGAGCAAGCAGTAAATCGAGTGAACTGAAGTGGACGCGCCAGTGAGGCTGTCTAATCCGTACATCACTTCGGTCATCGGTTTCCTGGTCTCTCTATCTTTCTCAGCGAAACGGTTGATCGGTTGACTCGCGTTGATCGTTGATCCGTCATATCGTACTGTATCGTACGTGGATCGCGTGGTATTCGTGTCCGAGTCGTGTTTGTCGTGTCTGTCGTGTCGTGCTGTTATCGCGATTCGCGTGTCGTGTATTCTACATACATCGTATCGTGTATCGTAAATCGTATATCGTGTCGTCGCACAATTTCGCTCATTGAGCGCAATCCGTTCGTACAAATAATCGTCGCACTCCCAGCGCCTCATTCCCAGAATAGAGACACCATCGAGCGTGTTATAAATCGTCGTGGTCTGCCGTGCACGGGGATCGTAGCGCCGTTAACGTCAGTTAACGTTAACGGGGAAGTTCGAGCTCGGAGTCGCCGACTTCGTCATGCCGTCGGCCGCGGCCACGACGACGACGGCGACGACGGCACACTCCGAATCGGGAGGAGACGCGTTCTCCCGCTGCTGATATGGGGCCACTGACCGAGCGCTTGGTCCTGGTCTCCGTGGGCCCTCCCTGCTTCGAAAATAAATAAAAGTCTCGAACGGCTCTATATAAGGAGATTGTGAACGACGACG